GTTCCTTCATGGTTCTGATAAAATCCAAACATGTGCTCAAGTGGACAAAGTAGTGTGTGCTGAATTTCCGGATTGTCAAACTGACCCATTGCTTTTTGAAACAATCATAGGTTGCATGGTACACGGACCATGTGGTGCTCGAAATCCACAAGCATCATGTATGGAAAATGGGGTATGTACCAAGCGGTACCCTCGGTCATTTGTTGAATCAACAAGTATGGACTCTGATGGATATCCTGTCTATCGTCGTCGTAATACTGGTCAGAAGTACATCGTGAGGGGACAAGAAATTGATAATAGAGATGTTGTGCCACATAATCCGTACTTATCAAGAATGTTCAACTGTCATATCAATGTTGAAGTTTGTGCAGGAATCAGATGTGTAAAATACATTCACAAGTATATTTATAAAGGACATGATCGCGCAACAATGGTACTTGGAGGAATTAATGAGATCCAACAATATCTTGATGCTAGGTATATTGGACCTCCAGAAGCTGCGTGGCGATTATTTGGTAATCCTTTACATGAAGAGATTCCGTCGGTTGTAAGATTGGCACTTCATTTGCCTGGGATGCATCGTGTGGTCTTTAACCCTGCTGAATCTTTTGATACGATCCTTTCTAAAGGTGCACATCAAGAAACAACTCTAACTGGTTTTTTTGATTGTTGCGCTGCAAATGAATCTGCACGTGTATTAACTTATCAGGAATTTCCACAAAAATTTGTTTGGAACAAGTCTATCAATAAATGGACTCCAAGACAAAGGGGTTATGCAATTGGTAGAATGTACTTTGCTAGCCCTAATTCAGGTGAGCGGTTTTATTTACGTTTGCTTCTAACTGTTGTCAGAGGACCTACTTCATTTGACTGGCTACGCACGGTAAATAATGTTATGCATGATACATTCAAGTCAGCATGTGTTGCAAGAGGACTTCTTGAAGATGATGAAGAATGGATACAATGTCTTCAAGAGGCTGCAATTATGAGAACGGGGTACCAATTAAGAAGATTATTTGCCATAATTCTAACGGAATGCTTTCCATTGCATCCATTTGCATTGTGGAAGCAATTCTCAGCACATATATGTGATGATTTAGCACACAAGATTCGTACTATGTTTGGTATTTTGAATCCAACTAATGATCATATTGAAGATTATGGCTTATATTTGATTAATCAATTGCTCCATGAGTCGGGGAAGAGTTTAGTTGACTTTCCACCCATGCCACAATCAATTGGAAATTGGAATGCAACAGTTAGAAATAGATTATTGTTTGAGCATCAACAACTTCAGAATGAAGCACAACAGTCTGATGCACAAATTAATGTTGACGGTCTTAATGATGCACAACTTGCTGCTTATACTGCCGTCACAACGTCAGTATGTGAAAACATAGCAACTACTTTTTTTTTGAGTGGAGGTGCTGGGACGGGAAAAACGTTTTTGTACAATACCATTGCAACCAAATTGCGTAGTTATGGACATGTTGTTGTTACTGTGGCTTCATCTGGTATTGCATCGTTGTTATTGGTAGGGGGGCGCACTGCACATTCTACATTTTGTATTCCTTTGGAAACCCTAGACAATTCAATATGTGGGTTCACTAAACAATCAATGCATGCCGAATTGTTTAGAAAAACAAAGTTGATAATATGGGATGAAGTTCCTATGCAGCATCGATACTGTGTTGAGGCAGTCGATCGCACCCTTCAAGATATCAGAGACGATAAAAGACCTTTTGGGGGTATCACTGTTGTCCTGGGTGGAGACTTTCGACAAATATTGCCTGTTATTCCTAAAGGCGTTCGTGAGCAAATTGTGGGTGCATCATTGAGACGGTCTTTGCTATGGAAAGATATATGTGTTTTGACTCTAGGTTTAAACATGCGATTAACTCGCACCGACGTTCGAAATACTAATTTTGCTAAATTCTTGATGGAGGTAATATTTCATTCCACCTTGAATTGTTGAATTTTTTAACATGATGCTTTGAATTAAATCTCACTTTGTGACTAATTATACTCTCATTTTTTAGATTGGGACCAATCCACGTGAAATTGTGCAACTTCCATCTACAATAAACCGGTGTCACAATCTAAATGAATTGATATTTAAAATCTATCCACAATTGGATGTGATTGGTATAGTGACTCCAACCTTTCTCACTGAACGCACAATTCTCTCTGCGCGTAATGACGACGTCAGTGATATAAATGCTGCAGCACTGAATATTACTCCGGGAGAGACAATTACTTTTTTAGCTGCAGATAAAATGTCTGAAGGTGATGAGCTTGACCGTACCATTAGGAATCGATATCCTAATGAGTACTTAAACTCGCTGAATCCTTCAGGGTTGCCACCGTTTAAATTGGAGTTGAAAGTTGGATGCCCAATAATGTTGTTACGAAATATTGCACCAAAGGATGGACTTTGTAATGGCACGCGATTGATGGTTGTTAGATGTGCCTCAAGGGTAATCGAAGCTCAGATATTAAATGGAGATAAAATTGGCAATTTAGTCTTCATTCCGAGAATATCAATGACACCAACATCTTTGGACTTGCCTTTTCGAATGACAAGACGTCAGTTTCCTGTCCGATTAACTTATGCTATGACAATCAATAAAGCCCAAGGACAATCTGTGAAGTTCGTTGGGATTGATTTGCGGACACCTGTTTTTAGTCATGGACACCTTTATGTGGCACTATCTAGATGCACATCTTCAGATCGTATTACAGTCCTCCTTCCAGAAGATGGGTCGAATTGCACTACAAATATTGTTTACCCAGAAGTTTTGTTATAAGATTCTTACGACAAGTAAATGGTATAGTTTAAACAAATTTATTTCTACTGAATTATGTAATCTTTTCATCATTTCAACTTTTAGTTTTACAATGAGATTCATTCTTTATAGGATTGGAGTGAATTTGTCAACGAGAACGATAGTGTATATACAATGGACCTTTGTGGATGGGGCCGACGTAATCAGGTAAATCTACTTTATGTCACTGTATTAAAATAACTTTACTATTCCTACAATATAAATATTGTGTTACTTTTATTGTTTATGTGAATAATTAGGTGGTTGTGCATTCTCCTCATTGGGCAAAGTGCGTTCGTATTGATACGAGGACATTAAGGATAGTGATGAAGAGAAGGTTTAAAGGGATGAATAAGACATTTAAGAGAGTTAAATGATATGCAATCCATTACCGACCTGTCCACCTTTGACGATGACTAACTCATCACTGACCAAACAATTGTTTAGGTATGAAAATCTCTCTTACTAAGACTCTATATTTCTCTATTCTCATGTAGACACACAACACACAATACATGCACAAACACAAACACATAACTGTAACCAATCAAACACTCGCAAATCAAACTCACACACCATTATATTGTCACTAATACAGATTTATGATTGAAATCATTAAGCAAATGAACCGTCTGTTGAAATGATACTAAGAAAATCTTATTTGATTGTAAGTCTCTACATTCCTCCATATATTTTCCTAAATAAATTGATAATTTGTTACAAACTCTCTAAATTCTTACTTATATCAATCTAAATCATTCCAGGGTAATGTAATTAATTTTATTGAATCCAACTAACGAAAAAAGTAAGGGGTCTTATGTTTCGGATTTACAATTGTTTTATTTTGACTCACTTATTTCGATAATTTTTATATTTCAAATATTTTCAGGTATACATTGAAGGATACTTGGTATAAGTTGTAAAGAATATGAAGTTGTTTCTTTATTTTGTGTATGTGTGTATTTTTTGTGTTCCGTCTTTTGTAAAGTTAACTAATTATACATAATTATGATGATTTTGGGTATGGAATGATGGTTGTTTTGGTGGTTTGGGTATGTAGTGATGATTGTAAGTTTTGTAGACAAGTTTATATTTTTCTGTATATCTATTTTTAAAAGAAATTCTGCATAAATTTCTTGAAATTAGTAGGGATTAACTTGATGTTTTGGTGGTTGGATATGTGTTGATGATTGAATATGTATTAATTTTGGTGGTTCTAATTTTTCGTTACGCCGTGCCTTCAGGCACGGGCAATTACTAGTTGCTTTATAAGCTTTATCTCACATATATAGTCTGTTAAGAGGCATCCAATTCAACCAACAAATTAGGAGATTCAAATGCGTGGGAAGTTTGATTTGCTGCTGATTATGTCATGTTTGATACACATCTACCCCAAAATTAATTGGGAATGAGTGCAGAGATTTATTGATAATATAGGGCATGGTTGGTTCTGGTATACTATGCGAAGAGATTAAACGGTTAATTTTATTTCAATTCATAATGGTAGTAATTTTTGATTAATCATTTTATTTCATTTATATCATATCATGTTTGGATCAAGGTTAGTATGAGTTCATTAATCTAACATCAATATTATGTTTGGATAAGATATTAGTGTATGATAATAAATTTTTAAAAAATAAAACACTTTACATCAATTCATAACTCTAGTCTACAAGAATGTTCTTGTCATTTTGGATATTACTACAAATAATGTTTCATTTAATAAAACGTCTTATATGGTGTCGAGTTATACCAAATAAGGGGGGGGGGGGGGTATTAGATGACACTGTTATTAAAACATTTTTAAGACTCGGCCGTATGACTTGACCCAAACTTAGTATTAAATGACAATTGCACTACCATACTTCAACTCTATTCCTTAATACCTCAAATAAATATACCCACAAATTACAAATCAACCCTGGATAACTCTAATCTTCTGATGCGTGGGTCACCATTTTCCTTACACGATGAACTCTTGATGCAGATTCAAAAGCCATCATATAATACAATCAATCCTAAGGATGTACAATCTGTCATTAAAAAATAAGAAAGTTTTATGATTACTACTGTGATGAATGTCAGAAAAGGAGGTGAAAAAAAAAACTGTTATAAAGTATCATCTTTTAATTTTAGGAAGCATTATCTATCCAAAACAAGGGGTACCAAAACCAAAACCAAAACCAGATTCTTGCCCACCGAAAAGAAATTAAAACAATGGGCCACTTAGGATCCTTCCAAAACAAACGAGTTATAATCCTATAACATTCTGCCACCTCCTTATTCATACCAAAGAAAAAGACAAGCAACTAATTAAACAAGTGTTGAAAAGTGCCAAAGGAAGCAAGTTTTCAGAAGCTCCAGAGAGAAGCTGAGACAAAACAGAGCACTTAGGAGGTAGTGGGAATGGGTTTCTGAATGACAAAGGACATGCACTGAGCCTGTTTTATGTTGTCAAATGCCAAGCAGCGAATATAAGCATTTGGGTATTCTTTTTTGCACTCCTGGATTTCATTGAGGACTTGAGAGGAGTCACTGCAACCAAACATGGGGAGCTTCCACAGTGTCCAGTATCTCCCATCATAGTACCCTGGCATCATGCTGTTTTCTCTGTGCACGTGTCCCACCTTTCATAGAAAACCAAAAGGTAAGACCAGAGTATCAAAGATTGTATAAAGTAACTCAACAGGGAAGCAATAACATTTAGACAAGAATTGTATGGGATCAAAATCTATAATGCATTGTAGTGGATCAAACCCAAGAGCAAACACTCCTGAAACTGAGGTTCAAGGATGGATCAGGTGAGATGAAGATATCAAGTGCACGTACTTTGTCCCACATCGGCTTGTCGAAAGATGTGTGAAGTTCTTGTAAGATTTGGACCTTTGTTCTATAATACATTTTAGAGCGGGTTGGTCTAGCTCAAACGGACAATATTAGACGATGTGGGTGTGGAATGTTAATACGAGAAGATAGGCTAAACCAGGGCTACTTTGTCAAGACAAGCTACCAATAATGATCTGTTAGATTCCTAGGATGCAAAAAACATATTAAGCCCCACAGATTCTTCACGAGTTGATTAAACTATGACTAATTCTCATTAAGGAAAAAAAAATCACCATGAATTACTAAGATATGATTGTTTTTTACGGGTCTGAACATACCGTGTCGAATTCAAGGCAGGGGATCCAACCCTTCTTCATCATGTAATCAACCTCCTTTGCAATTGATTCCTCTGAGAGAGGTGGAAGGTAGGAGAGAGTCTCAAACTTCTTGTTATTGATTGGATTCCAAGTCTGTTAAACAAATATGTGCATATACACACACCAGCATAAGAAACAAAAGTTGTGAGCAGTTTATACAAATCATCACTTGTACCACATTACCTTCATGCAGTGAGTTCTCGAACCATTTGTAGTAGTCTTCCGGCTCCATGAAACTGAGTCGTTCACAAGAAATAGGTTGGAGGAGTCGGGTTTCAAGCCAACATAGCTGGATCCAGCAAGCGGAGCTGAGAAACTTGAGGCAGACATTTTATCAAAGTTGGTGTTAAGAGCAAGATCAGGGAAAATATAGAATAGCACAGAAAGTTTTGCTACAAGTGTTCAACAGTTTGGTTATAAAGATACTGGAAATGGTTAGAAAAAAGGACAAAAGGGGTCAGCATGGGTGATGAGGTGTAATTTGTTAGGGCAGAAAGAGGGGGGGGGGGGGGGGGGGGGGGNGGTTTCATCACATCTCCTGCTTTTTGATTTTTTTCTGTGGTCGCCGTCCACCTGGCACCCGGAGAATGGTTGTGGACCCACCAATGAATGGTGCCATTCTACATCACTGCAACCGTTTGGAAGAAATAGAAGAGATTGATGATTCAATCTCTCTGGCTTTTCTGTGTATTTGGAGAGAAAGACCCTTAAATATACGCTGAATGTAAATGTTAGGTTCATTTGATCCATGCATCTGTTTGCTTGAGTGGACAAAAAGGGTATCGTCCATAAGGCAATTGGGTACTCCAACTATCCCCTGATCAAACTTTCTCTTGGAAATTCAATCATCCAAATTAAAATGATATAAATGATTGAAACAATATTACTATTTGGTTGAGCCCTGGACTAGGCTAGCAGGTTATATAGAAGTGAATTAAGTTCACCAATGAAAACCCGAACGGGTAGCCAAACTTTATGATGAGTAAACTTGGGTGTCACTCTGATCAAACCGATGTCTGTGCATAGTGCGAGATTCAAGTATCCAAAGAGGTGGGTCCAATGCGACCCTGCCATGTAGAGTCTCCCATTACCATAAAAAAAAGGTGGGGGGGGGGGGGGGGGGGGGGGCCCCCCAAAAAAAAAAAAA